TGTTTAACTCTGTCTTTGCCAGCATTTTTCATGGTGAATTTTTTTTTCAGGGTTTGAAAAACCAGGCCCGGGTTAAGCTGAACATAGTTAGATGTCCTCCAGTAACCACAGTCTTGATCAGAAGACCAGACCTCAGATATCAGTTGGGCTTCAGTGTGCAGAATGGGATTGTAAGTAGCTTCCACACTTTCTGATCAAGCTTTAACATACATGAAACTTCCTGTCCATTTGTGGGTAAGTTTCAGCGTGGGAAGAGGGAAGCTGCTATTTTCTCCCTTATAGCAAGCAGGATTTTGCACATGTTAAGTCTAAGATATAAAAGTTGGATTAGTGAGAGTTATTTTTTCTCTTTGACTCTACTTACTTCGCAACTTTAGAGTAAGCCAGAGGAGCAGAGAAGTTGTTTTAGGTTAGAGAAGCAAAAATGTGTAGCAGAGTCTGCTTTCAGCATGCATCGTTCATGTCCCTAAGCCGTTGCATGATCTCAAAAGCAAAAGCCTGTCCTTGATCCTCTTTTGTTGCAAGGCATCTGCATCGTGAATGTTGTTAAACAGAGGTCCTTCATAAACTCAAATTTCTAAAGCAGAAGACATGTAACATACAATGCAAACAGCCTTTTCTGAGACTTTGTTCTGCTCTTGGAAGGGAATATCCGTTAGTTTCTTGTCACTGACAAGTTCTGCCTTGAGTCAGTGATGGATCACATTTCAGAATTTGTTGTGAGTCTTTGTATTTAAATGTTGATTTACAGCTTGCAGACAAAAACGGGTAACCAAAAGTCTATGTTCCTTATTCAGCCCACAATAAATTTGTTCTTTGTCTTCCAGATCTGTAGCCTTATGAGAGGAGGCATAGCAGAGAGAGGAGGTGTGCGTGTTGGCCATCGGATCATTGAAATCAATGGACAGAGTGTTGTAGCAACACCTCATGAGAAAATTGTTCACATTCTCTCAAATGCTGTTGGTGAGGTAAGAACCAGCAATATGTCTAGGCAGTATAACATAGCTCATTGCTGTTACCAGAAACAACCAGGTAACAAGTGGTGTCCCTCAAGGGACTGTACCGGGTCCAATACCTCATAATATCTTCATCAGTGACATAGACCATGAGGCTGAGTTGCACCCTCAGCAAGTTTGCAGGTGACACTGAGCTCGGTGCTGCTCGAGGAAAGGGATGCCATTAGAGGCACCTGGACAGACTAGAGAAGTGGCCCATGTGACCCTTGTGAAGTTAAACAGTGCCAATTGCAAAGTCCTGCATTGGGTCTGGGTAATCTCCAACATCAGTAGAGAATGGGGGTGAAGGGATTGAGAGCAACCCTGCAGAGAAGGACTTGGGAGTACTGGTGGATGAAAAATTGGACATGAACCGCAAATGGGTGCTTGCTGCGCAGAAAGCCAGCCATATCCTGGTTGGGCATAAGGAAGAATTCATCATTATAAGGGTGGTGAAGTTGCCCAGAGAAGCTGTGAATGCCTCATCCCTTGAAGTGTTCAAGGCTGGTTTAGTAAAATATGTCTGCCTGCAATAGGACAGTTTGGATTAGATGATCTTCAAGGGTCTCTTCCAGTTCAAACTGTTCGATAATTCTGTGATTCTGCATCCATTAGCTTGTTGCTAGTCAAGTCCAAAAAGCAGAAGTGAGAGCAAGCCAGCACAGTTTCTTTCACTATTTTCCCATAGTTCTTTATTGTTTTAGAAGAGCCCTAATCTGAAAATACAAAGTGTCATTGATACTAAACATACCGTTTCATAAAATTACCACCTATAAGACTTCAATGAGGGTATGAAAATTTTTAAGTTTTACCTTTCTTTTCTGCCCTGCTGATTCCTTCACATGTGGTATGCATATTAGGAACATTGATTAACTTGGCTTACTTCCTCTAGATTCATATGAAGACGATGCCAGCTGCCATGTACAGACTGTTGACTGCGCAAGAGCAACCAGTTTACATCTAAAGCTGACACCTTGCTGTCACAACGTGCATGGAAGATGTTTTTCCTCATTTGTGCTTGTCTCTAGTGCTGCAT